TATGTGCCTGGTTATTGGGGGAAAAAACTAATCCCAGAGACTCATACTACCAAAAACTTTGCCAGAACTGTTTGAAAAGGCTATTGTGCCCGGCACAGAACCAGTGTCCCCCAAATTTGTGTGGGAGGGGTGACTCCCAGCCCTCAGCTCATAAGTAATATGACTCTCTCTGTTTCCCTTCCTTCCAGCTGATTTCTGTATTGAGCCCCACCAGGCACGTGCACTTTGATCTCAGTTAGCCCCAGACTCCCTTTTCCAGAGGTTGAGACATGGAGGTTCTGAGGGCTTACTTATCACAAGTAAAGCCTGGTGTCTGCTGAGATGTCTCCTGCTCTCTCCTGCCTCTCTGCATTGTGATTGGGCCAAGAGAATTACTCGGATGTTCTGGGTTGCAGGAATCTCCATGAGGCACTATTCAGCCCTCTCTGCAGCCTTCCCCTGACAGGGCTGCAGAGACTTTGGAGGGGAGGAGCTGGTTAACTCATAGGACTACTTGAATAAGCCAGATGTGTGTGCACATGACACCAGACCACCTTGCTGATGGCTGTGGTCCTGCCCCAACCCCATCTCCCACCCACACCCCCAGACCCTGACCCCACCAGACAAAGGTCTCACTGCGCTCCAAGTTGACACCATCCCCAGCCTTTCTCTTCTCACACACTGAGTTGCACAGTCTTGCCTTCTCCCTCTTGCCTTCCCGTCTCTGCCCTTGCTGTTCCTCCCCCCAGGCAACCCTACCTACTTCTGCTGACTACACTCCAGGATCGCCTGCATCTTCTGGGCCCCTCCTGCAGAGCTGTTGGAGTCTTGGGGCATAGTCCTGCTCTCCTGGCTCCTCCCCCACAGGCCACACCAGGCCCTCCCTGCCCTGCTGTGCCCTGCTGCCCTGCTGCTCCCACTGCCTGGATCCCTTCCCTCCTCCACCCTAGTTCTTCCCCTTAGGCCCTGGTCCCAGGGCTCAGCCCTCTAGGAGTCCAAGGGATTTCTCATGCCTCTTGCAGAGTTCTTTTCATACATAGCTCTTAATTAACACATGGCTTCAATCAATAGCTACTCACTGAGCACTTCTGTGCCCCAGGCCCTGGGGACACAATGGTGAAAAATCTCAGTTACTTGCCACAAATCTGCAACATTCTGTGGAGAGGTGAGAGAATGCCCTGGAGGTGGTGGAGCTCAGCTGAGGACACTTGTGTGGCTCCCCTTTGAGACAGAGCTGTCACAGTGGCCAGAAACAGGGGCTGAGCACACCAAGCTCCTCCAGAACTGAGATGACCCCAGCCACTCTGAAGACCCATGGACATCAGGCTTCAGGATTGCCATTCTTAGGAGGAGGGCGCTTCACCCTTAGGACATCTGCTTCACACTGGCCACATCCCAGCCCACACAGGTCCCCCCTCGACTTCAGTGTGGCAGTGTTCTGCTACAATGCTCTGCAGACCAGCTGCTCCATAGCTATCTGGGATGCCAGCCCATCCCACAAAAACTTGGATTAGGACCTTTGCATTCTAGGTCTGGAAATCTGTAGTCTAGCAAGCTCTTTATATTAGACAGAATAATCATCCCCAAAGATACCTACTTCCTAATTCCTAGAACCTGTGACTGTTACCTTACATGGCAAAAGGGACCTTCAGATGGAGAGATAAGCCTGGATTATCTGGGCAGGCCCAACATAATCACATAAGTTTTTAAAAGCAGAGCAGCTTTCCTTGGGGTCAGAAAGAAGTGTGACGATGGAGGGGCCATAAGCTGAAAGAAATGTGGTGGGATGGAGGGGCCATAAGCCAAGGAACACGGGCACCCCCTAGAAATCAGAAAAGGCAAGGAAATGGCTTCTCCCAGAGTGCAGATGGGAATGTGGCCCTCTCAGAACCTGGGTTGTAGCCCAGGAGACCCCTGTGGGACTTCTGACCTATAGACTGTTTTCAGGCTACTGCATTTGTGGTTTATGGCAGCAACAGAAAACCAGTACATTCCTCACCTGAGTTTACATACACTGAGGTTCTAGAATCCCTGCTCTATAACTAGATCCACTCAGCTACGTGGTTTCATATGATATGTAGTCACTGATCCAAAACTTCCAGATTCTAGCTGCCTCCATCAACTGCCTGATTCCCCACTTAAAATTCTGGAGAGGGGCTTGGCGCCTATAGCTCAACCGGCTAAGGCGCCAGCCACGTACACCTAAGGTGGCGGGTTCGAATCCCCAGCCCGGACCCGCCAAACAACAATGACGGCTGCAACCAAAAAATAGCCGGGCATTGTGGCGGGCGCCTGTGGTCCCAGCTACTTGGGAGGCTGAGGCAGGAGACTCGCTTGAGCCCAGGAGTTGGAGGTTGCTGTGAGCTGTAATGCCATGGCACTCTACCCGGGGGGACAGCTTGAGGCTCTGTCTCAAAAAAAAAAAAAAAAAAAAAAAAAAAGAAAAAAATTCTGGAGAGGGAAGTAATGAACAAACAAAAACAGCCCAGTGTGACGGCTCAGCTCACTGTGTCCTACTCCAGGATAATGCACAGGATGCTGCCAGCTGTGGGTTAGAGGCAGATCCAAGACAAGGTCAGTGGTCAGCAGTCATACAGGAGAAAGAGGGCCAGGGAAGACTTCAGAGAGGAGAAAGCCATGAGGTTGAGCCCACAGGATAGCTGTGAGCTGACCAGGACATGAAGGTGGGATGGAGGGGCAACAGTTCCAGGCACTACACATAAGAGAGCAGGCTCTGGGGGCAAGCAAGCAGCTTGGTGTTGCTGGTGCAAAACCTACAGTAAGGGAAGGGGCTGCCAGGGGACAGCAGCCAGATGTGAGGGTTCTATGTACCACAGTGAGGGAACAGCCCTTACTTATAAGGGTTGGAAATTCAGGAAAGAACTTGGAGAGGTGAAGATGGACTGCAGGGTGGATTAGAGAGCCTTGAAGCTGGAACAGGAGACATACCCCCTTGGCTCTGAAATCCAAGATTTACTTCAGGGCTTTGCTGGAAGAAGGGGGGAATGTGTGTGAGTTGGGAGTGGGAATAAGGGACAGAAGGTTCCAGAGAAGAAGTCTTGATGTGAAAAGTGCACAATTGGGTCAGGAACTTTAATTGTGAGAACTCTTCTGAAAAGCATCTTTTGGAAGCCCACTTGTCTTTGGCAGCCCTTAGAAAACAAATTCTGAAAATTATCCAAGCCTGATTAATCTCACTCATCTTTTAAGGTACTGAAATTACAGTGAGTAAATAAAAACAATACCTAACTGCAAAATAAGCATAAGAAAGTCCCACAAAGTTCTGATTTAGCCATTTTTTGCTTTCCAAGTTCTTTCAAGAGGAATAGTTGTGGGCAGCACCTGTAGCTCAGTGAGTGGGGCACTGGCCCCATATACCAAGGGTGGCAGGTTAGAACCTGGCCCAGACCAAACTGCAACAACAAAAAACAAATAGCTGGGTGTGGTGATGGGCATCTATAGTCCCAGCTACTTGGGAGACTAAAACAAGAGAATTGCCTAAGCCCAAAAGCTGGAGGTTGTTGTGAGCTGTGACGCCCCAGCACTCTATTGAGGGCGACAAAGGGAGACTCTGTGTCTAAAAAAATAAATAAATAAAAAAGGAGGGCAGCACCTGTGGCTCAAGAAGGGCACCAGTCCCACATGCTGAAGGTGGTAGGTTCAAGCCCAGCCCTGGCCAAAAACTGCAACAACAGAAAAGGAGGAATAGTTGGGTGTTCAGCTCAGCCAGAATGTGGTAGGGCAGGAGGCTTAGGCCACAGCCATTTGACCTGCCTCTGGGCTTTAGAACTGAAGCCCCATGAGTAGCCAGCAGGGAGTGTCCCCGGGGGGCACATCCCTGGGAACCTGGCAAGCACAGGGGCCAGGGCAGAGTTAGGCCCAGGCTGGAAGAATGAAGCACATTCATGCTCAGAAGTTGGATTTTCATTCTGTGAAGACGGGACACACAGCAGACCCATGCGCAAGCTGGCAGTGGCCACACAGAAGCATTGTCGACGTGCCATGGAGGCAGGTCCAGGCCCCTCCCCATACTGGCAGCTGAGGCCCCTCAGGCTGGCATGAAAGAATGAAGATGTTGGTCTATGACAGATCTTTTCTTTAGAAAGAGGGCAGGCAAATCCATTTTGTTTTGTGAAAACCCAGGAACAATGTTACAGGAATGAATGAGAAAGTAATTGGGGATACCCACGTACTGGCCCCTTCCCCTCTCCTAATTTTAACAATTTTAAGCAAAGAGGAGAAAAGATTTCAGTATGAGACACTAGTCCACCATGTTTAGTATTTGCTTAAACGTATTAAAGTTTAGATAACATCGATTTAAAACTTAAACCCCCACCAGGTGCAGTGGCTCACGCCTGTAATCCTAGCACTCTAGGAGGACGAAGGAGGTGGATCGCCTAAACTCACAGTTTGAGACCAGCCTGAGCAAAGTGAAACCCTGTCTCTACTAAAAATAGAAAGACTAGCTGGGCATCGTGGCAGACACCTGTAGTTCCAGCTACTCGAGAGGCTGAGGCAGGGGGATCGCCTGTGCCCAGAGTTTGAGGTTTCTGTGAGCTGTGACGCCAAGGCACTCTACCCAGGGTGACAGAGTGAAACCCTGTATCAAAAACAAAACAAATCTTAAGCCCATCAGACAAGAAAACTTTGCTTTTATAGCAGTTAAGATACTGTTTTTGCTAGGCTCATACTTGTAATCACAGCACTTTGGGAAGCTGAGGCAGAAAAGATCACTTGAGGCCAGGAGTTCAAGAGTAGCCTGAGCAACATAGGGAGATCCCATCTACACACACACGCACAAACACACACACACACACACGCACAAACTTTTAAAATTATAAATTAGCTGGACATGGTAGCAGGGGCCCGTAGTCCCAGCTACTCAAGCAGGATGATCACTTGAGCCCATCAGTTCCAGGTTACAGTGAGCTATGACCTTGCCACTGCACTCTAGCTTGGGTGACAGAGTTAAATCCTCTTTAATTTTTTTTTTTTTCATTTCCTCATAAGGGACAGATGCATTACAAGTAGTTCTTTATTATGAGTTTGTCTCAATACATAAAATTCATTTAAACATCTAAAATAACTCCTGACTGTAAGCAATGGGTCCTGATTATTGGTGAAGTAACATTCACACCACAGCCTCTTCTGAACACAGGAGGACGAGGTCAGCTTAACAGTGCTGTTCACTAGCACAGTGTGAACATTCAGAATCACTCCCAGATTTCTGATGAGAAATAAATGCTATCCTTAGGCTAGCAACACTTCTTAGGGGTTTTCACAGTCCAATTGTGGGTTGATGTGTGAAGATTTCTCCCCATCCCCTGCCTCCCTCCCCAGGCCGAACAGCCAGTGTCACATGCGACCTGCAGTGCCTCACACTGAGCCTGCCTGCCTTTAAGGGTGTGAACAGGTGCCCCATCCAGCCGCTTGTCAAGAAGCAGCCTGGCTCAGCTCGCATCACCCCAGCGCACTGTGGGGTTCTTCTGAACCTGGAGAAGAATTCAGTGGTCCCACTGGCCAGCCTCCTGCTCATCGCTATCCTCCTCTGAGTCAGCAGAGACCCTCTTGATTCTCTGCAGTGCTGCTTTGATGCTCCTTTCAAGGTCACTGGCCGGCTTATTGTTGGGGCTTGAGTCAGAGTCCAAGTGAACTTTCTTCAATTTGACCCCCTGCCTTATGGCAGCCAGAATATGCTCATTGACTGAGGCATGGGGAGGGGACAGGGTGGGCACTTCTGCTCTCCGGAGAGGGGTTCTGCCTTGTCGCAAGGAAGCCAACACTTCATCCATAGATCCTGAAATGAGCAAACAGAGCATGTGCTGCATGACTCTCCCTGATCCCAGGCAAAGATTACAACAGCTGTGTCTCCAGAAACAGTCTATCAGAAGGGGTACATGGCTATGCCTATAAGTTGCCACGAAGAAAGTAAGTTGTCAAACAAAAATATTAGTTCTTAAACTCCTGGATTCCAACAAAGATCTTGACTGTTGATCTTGTCTATCAGGTAATCAAGGCATTTGACAGAATGACGATTTGTTTAAATCATGGTGTTAACTGATGTGAGATTTAACAACTTTAGTGTAATAACGTAATCTTTCCCTGTGATCCTGAAGAGATACGGATGCACCAAGGGTGGACATAACCTCTCCACTGTATACAACGTGGATGCCTCTGAAACTCATTCTCTTCCATTTCCCTGCCCATTTAAAAAAAATTTTCAAAAAAATTTTACCCTACTCTATTTCTGTAGCTTTAGTGTTGGACATTTGTTAGTGATGAGTAAAGAATAACACTTCTATGACAATGAAGTGAGGAGGTCTCCACAAATGAAAAGGCTTAAAGTAATATTTTAGCCAGCAGCTCCATGAACCTGGCAGGGGTGGCACTGGTACATTGTCCTGCACATGGTGAAAATGCTGTCAATACACAAATTAGATCAGGGTTTTAAGGCACTTCTGAGAAGTCATTTTTCACTCTGGAACTTGAGACCCCTGGGGGGGTAAGATGTTACCACCTGCTGCAAACGGGCATGACTATGGCCACTAATCTAGAGACCTTCATGATGAACAGTCATTCCTGGTTTAGGATTGAAAGGCTATGCTGTGGCTAACAAGAAGTGATTTGACTTTGGATTTAAACCTACAACTTGTTAGAATTTCCTTCTAGAAGTAATAAGACAAGTTTTACAGTCAAGGGCATTTTCTAGTGCTAATTCATTTTCTCACTCATTTCAATAAACTAAAGTTGTTTATTTTATGAGTTGAACAGAGCTTTCCCCAGCTGTGTGCCTTAAACCTGAGCTGGGAGTGCAGAGCCCCACACAGGCCTGCCCTCATGCAAGGTCCCATCTAGACACAGGGGCAGGAGCTTTCACTTTCCATTCACATGACAGTGTCTCAAAACCCATGGAAACGGGCCATTTGGTCTCCACCACATGCTGTGGACATTTTCACTTGTACCTGGTACTAAGTACAGTGGAAATCTGATCACAGAATAAGCAGAACCAGTCTGGAACTGTTGTATTCATGTCATTCACATCACCAGTCACAGTGACCTTTTGTGCTCTAGCTGGAGGAACTCAAGCACATCTTTAAAAACAAACATACACGGATTTTCCTAGAATTTATCTAGAACACACACAACCCTCAAGCAGTAGTTCCCAGGTCTAGTGCTCCAAAGCCATGATCCTCACAAGTCAATGTCTAAAGCGATAATTAGAAGTGTGAGTGAGAACCATGGCCCTATTAAACAAAAAACAGTCACGTGTATTCAGTAGACTGTACCTGCCAACACAAAAGTCACTCATTTTTTCTTTTGGACACAGTATATTTTAGAAGGATTTCCTACAGCCTTCTGCCGTATGGCCAACCAACATTCTGCTTACAGTAAAAAATTTAATTCTGGAAAAGGCTTAGAGATAAAACTATAAACTTAAAGCTTTTTGCAAATCTTAAGAAACTTAAGGACTTAAATAGGTCAATACTTCAACAATCTAAGAAATCCCAAGTCATGTGATCATTAAATGTATAAAGATGGTTTCTTCAAACTTAGCATTTATCAAACTCAGGTTTAACATTTACTAACTTTGTAGAAGAGTAATATTCAAGGCAACAAATAACTGGAATATTTTAAGACTGTATGGAGTTTTTTCAAAGATTTCAATTTAAAGATGATAGCTATAAAGCTAGAATGCTCCAAGGGCTTAACAACCTGTGTGAAGCAGGAATAGGACTCTGGAGGATTACCTGGGCACTGGAAACTTTTAAAGGAATCACACCGTCTCTCAGCAGGTGGGTCACACACTAGAGGAAGTGGCTGGTCATCTTTCACTGCAGTTCTGCCAACTGAGTTCTGATGAGCTGGAGCTTGAGAGGACAAGGACAGAGCAGGAAGAGGGGGTGGAGGTGGTGGTGGAGGAGGAGGGGGTGGCGGTGGTGGCAGTGAGAATTCATCACTGGATTTGGAGTGGATCTGGTTACCAACTGGAACAAAAATCTGGACAGGGATATCTCCAAGACATTCTTGACACTTGGAGGTTTTCACATTTCTAACTTCAGATAAGGGAACATTTCTGGTTTTCCTAGAGGACGGGAGAATTACTGACACCATCTGGGAGGCTGCCGAGGGTGTATGCCCGGAAGGACCGCATGGCAGGCTTGGAGCCACAGGTGTTGAGCAAGGGGTCTTTATTACAGACTGAGCCGGACATTTCTGAAAGTGAAAAGCAGTTATAAAGAATTTGCCACAAACACAAACCAGTGAAATGCTGACACTTTCTATAAATAAATGTATAAATAAACACTAATGTGCTTCTTTGCATAGATGATCTAACTCACAAAGCAGTACCTTCTCATTTGGACAGCCAGCTTTACTACTAAATATGTTTTCATGTGCTAAAAAGTAAGCAGTTGTAATATTTGATCAAGTACTACTTCTCTGTGATAAAAATGAAGATATGAAAAGACACACGTAGGTAAAAATATTCGTATCTTTAGTATGAGAAATATAAAACCCTAGATACCAATAATACAAAGTTAGTTGAAATAAGCAGCCATGAAAAATCATAAATAATACAAAAGTCTAGAAACATATGGAAAGTCAGGTAACATGGTGTTAAATGAAAATAGTGGGATACAAGATATCATGTATTAAAATTATGAACATGTGAAAAACACGCCTATGAAAATACCAGCAGGTGGACATGCAAGCAATAGCTGCAACGAGAACTGCTGATATTTCTTTTTTCTAACATTTAGGCTTAGAGTAAGTTTCACAAATTTAAAAAATGTAAGTTTAAAAAGTTCTGGTCTTGGCTCTGTGCCTATGCCCCAAGTGGCTAAGGTGCCAGCCACATACACCTGAGCTGGGGGTTCGAATCCAGCCCAGGCCTGCCAAACAACGACAGCTGCAACCAAAAAATAGCCAGGCGTTGTGGTGGGCACCTGTAATCCCAGCTACTAGGGAGGCAGAGGCAGGAGAATTGCTTGAGCCCAGGAGTTAGAGGTTGTTGTGAGCTGTGATGCCTCAGCACTCTACCCAGGGTGACAGCTGGAGGCTCTGTCTCAAAAAAAAAGAAAAAAGTTCTAGTCTTTCAGATATTAAATTGGCAAAGAAAAACCTAACTCCTACGAAGAACTGATTTTTTTTTTTTTTTT